TATCTCTTCTGCTTGTAAACAAAAAATCCCATGGTAGTTCTTGAAACAGCCAGGTCTTATTTCACGACTGGTTGTGGGTAATGAGAGTGCACATCCTATAGGCGATTGCATTTGTCACACTGTTCAAATATGTTTTATGTCATGGAATGATTCGATGTCCCTTGATGTGTAGGGACTTCATATGCTTGTTGCTTTGTAACCTTGTTTATTCCTTCATTTGCTTGAAGGACAGAAAAGCTGGAAAATTCAGACCTGGCGTGTAGCTGGTCTTTGCAAAAATAATTTTCTTTTATTCAGCATGATTATCCAGGAAGGTTAGACATTTCCTAACAAACTATAGTGAATATTTCTTGAATTTTTTCATCCCTTTTGAAGATATGAAAACCCTTTGTCACAATGCAGCCTGAGAGATGTGGTCAGTCTGAAACTGACGTGTGGGCTTTGAACAAATCATTGTAATTTGTTTTTTCTTGGGCAGACACAATGGATCTCTCTGAGGTAACTTTGCCCAGAGCTTCTTTAAAACATGAAGATGTGTTATTTGTTCCTACATCTGTCTGTAGTACTGCCTCTTTGCCCATTCCCCTTGTGATACCGTGGCCAAAGTAAGCAATCTCTGTGCAAAGCATAGCATCAGTTGGAAGCTCAGGGACTGGGCATGATTTTGCTTAAGCAGAAAAATACACAGATTTTTGTTTGCAGGTAGAGTTCTATTGGTGTATCTGAGATCTGGATTGGCCTTTTTGTGAGTACTAGATTAGAGTTGACCAGAGAGGTTTTTCAGCTAAGTCTGTGTGTTTCTCTGTTGACCTTCCCTTTGATCTTTTTACCAGCATTAACACTCTTGTGAAGATCAGTAAAAGCGCTGGGTCTATGCTGAAACCTCATGCACCAAAACTCATCCCAGCCCTGCTGGAATCCTTGAGTGTGCTGGAGCCTCAAGTCCTCAATTATCTGAGTCTTTGTGCAACAGATCAGGAGAAAGTAAGTGCAATTATAGTGGGAAAGTATCAACAGAACAGAGGTAACAAAGATTGACGCTTCATTCGGTGAACAGAAAAATAGCAGATTTGGTAGAGAGGTGTTGAAAGATGCAAAGAGAAATAGCAAATAAGTTACTAAAAAGAGTTTGTTCATTGGAATATGGCTGGACAAATGTGAGGGTTTTTTTGAAGGGTCGACATATTTCAGAAAGTGAAGAACAATCTTAGTAAGAACTGTTAAATATCGCTTTAGCTCCATGTACAACTGTGAAACAGGTGATGACAGAGTTTGTGATAATTATCCGAAATGTACCCGAACTGTTAAACCTTGCTGCTGTTTTTCCTAGGGCATTAACTGCAGGACTTATAACAAATTAGAACATGTGCCAGAGCAGTACAGGCTGGAGGTGAATGTTGTCGGAACAGAGTCCTTTGAGCTCTCTCAAAGAACCATATTCAGTAGCAGTCTTCTGGGAAAGTGACTGAAACCCACTGCTCAGAAGCAAGTTTAGCTAATTTCATTGTGGGGACGGAAAGGCGTCAAACTCGACCCTTTGCAAATTGTCCTGGTTCTGGCAAGGATAGAGTTAATTTCCCAAGGAGCCAGGACAGGTGAGCCAAGCTGGCCGGGGGCTATTCCATACCCTGTGACGTCATGCTCACCATCAAAGGGGGCTAGGCGGGCAGGGGCGGGTGTGGTGTGGCTCCCGGAGGGGCTGCACGGGGATGGTCGGTCAGTGGTTGGATCAGTAAATTGTTCTCTGTTATCACCCATTGTGAATATTTGCTATCAGCACTGTTGTTGATTGTTTTCCCTCTCCCTTGCTGTCCCAGTAACCTGCCCTTACCCCAACCCTTGAGGCTTTGCCGTTGTTTTTCTGTTCTCCCCATCCTGCCGGTGGAAGGGCTGAGCGAGTGGTGGTGGTGCTCAGCTGCCTGCTGGGGCTAAACCATGTCACAAATGAGAAAGCAGTGAATAATAGATCAGAGTGGGATTTTTTTCCTCTTTTTTCTTTCTTTTTTTCTCTTTTCCCTACCTTTTTCCTTCCCTCCTTCCTTCCCTCTCTCCCTCCCTTTTTTCTTAATTTCTTTTTTTTCTTTTCTTTTTTTTTTCTTTTTTGTTTCCATGATGTCAGGAGTGCATAGTTTAGCTCCTGTACTCCAGCTACAACATCCATCTGCCTCTGAAAGGGAGACATTCATGATCTGTAGACATAATTAGTTCCTGTCTGTATGCATCTGAAATGGATTTTGGTTTGAGTTGTGAGGTAGTGAGTTATAGCTGATGTTGCCCTTTCCACTGTTTTCATGTTGAGTTTTCACTTGGGCTTGGTTTTTTCCTCTTTTTTTAGACTGCAATGGATAGTGCCAGACTTAGTGCTGTCAAGTCATCTCCCATGATGGAAACCATTAACATGGTAAGTACTTGATTCAGAAGTATTCCAGTGTAAGGTACGTTGTAGGAGAAGAATAGGAATTGAAGTGGGAGCTTTACAGAATACCTCTTCAGGGTTCATTTTATTATCACATCTCCATGTGGATGTCTGTCCACCTTCTTTTTAATGCCCTGACTTCTCTCATCCTGTTGCCACAGCTTGCTCCTCAGATCAGTTGTGAATAACCTTGGCTCCATTTGGAGTCAGACAAGTTGTTTCTCCACCTGAAGACCTGCCTGCTTTGATGAAGAAGGCATCTCTCAAGTGCTTTTCTTTGGATGGGGGCTCAGCTGGATTATGCTAACTGCCATTTCTCTTCATCTCTGGCCCACATTCCACAATCAACTTCTCACCTGAGCATCCAATTGATGATAGTCATTGTTCTTAGGGCACAAAGGCTGTCCAACCCTTGCCTCTTGGTGCCTTAGATATCCCTACCTGGGCCTTGCTAGTGCTCTCATGTGGAGGTATTTAGAGAAAATACTGATATCACTGAAAGCACTTTCAGCAGCTGGTGCTTGGCACCATGATTTCCTACTGCTGGAGGAGGAGTTGCTGATGCCCAGACACTGTGCTGTAGGGTCTGTCTTGGCAGAGCTCCTGCCCTCTGTAAGAGCCTATCCCCTCACAAAGAGAAGACCTCGTTTCTGCTTAGCCACTACACACAGCCAGGGGCATGCAAGCAGGCAGGGGGTATGAGGGCTGAGCAAGTTTCAGAAGCATAGCCTCCAGAGCTATTCTTTGTTTCTTGCATTTATGGAAAAGTAACAGCAGCAAGCACGCCTGTACATAACAGCATGTGGAGCTGCATTTTGGTGTCAGGTGGAGCGCTTTCTATAAATAGTGTGTAAAGCAGCTGGGAATGAAAGGCTCCATGTAAAAGTGTACTCCCTGCCACCCTGCACGCTGCAGCAGCTGCTGTTGTCCCTCCTCCAGGCCATGCCTCTCTCCTGCCAGCCCTGGAGGGACAGTTTTGCTGCCCTGATCATAGAATCATGGAATCATAGAACGGTTTG